CTGTAATTGTATAATTAAAATTTTCAAGAGTAGTTTTTATATATAGAACGGATCGTTAACGAAGAAAATCTTTTCCGCTGGATAGAAAATTGCCAGTTTATGGCGGGAATTTCTGATAGAAAGATTAAGCAACAGTTACCTCCCTTCGTTTGGTACAAAACAAAAAAAAAGAAACAATTTTGAGAAGAGATACCGCCGTAAACAAGTGTCCCAATAGAATTAATCCTCCTTCTGTCTTTAAAACATTAGTCTTAACACAGTGCCGCAGAACAATGCATTCTCACATTGTCCATATCATCCATCAGGTGCCGACCATCAGAAATGAACCTCCTTCGCTTTCTAGGATCCCACGACTATCATCCATAAGTATACAGAATCAGACAGATAGATAGATAACATGAACATTAACCGACTAAAGACATCCCTTGGTTTTCAATTTACCCTTCCCGCCAAAGTAACTAAAGGACATTATCATAATCATTTTTCTTCTTTTCTTTTCTTTACCCTTGGCTCTTTCTTTCGTCTAAAGACATTAGCGCGCTAATGTTGTTTATTTAGTTGTACCCCACCCCAAACGAACGAACTCTGTGCCGTCCACTTCAGACAAGCCGTTTAGACATTCGCTTTTGCTGCGATGATAAATGCTTGTGAAAATATTTCGACCACGTTGACTATCTAAACTAGTTCTGAGAAAACTAATGTTCGGTAGAATTTCGACTGGTTTTGGCTCATGAGAAACGCAGGTGCTTGGTGTAAAGAAACAAATACCAAAAAAAAATTCTTTTTCACGCATGACACTGTACAAACGGAAATGTTTCTGCCTTAATTCTAAAATGATTTTTATTCTTGAAAGTAATCCTAACACATTATTATAAGATATTTCCTTTAATTTCCAGGGTTCTGCCGAAGGGCAATTTTCGCGTAAGCACTTATTAATGAAAGAGTTCATTTGAAGCTTTCCACTGATATTGAATCCGACTAAGTTATACTAAGTACCCATTTTGTTATACAGGGGAATTCAGCCAGTCATGTGCCATGCGTGATATACGCTTAGGCGATCATGTATCTTTCGATATATGACTGGCAAGGCAGATTTTTCCCGCAGTAGTTTGCCAGTTCTTTCTGCGCCAGACCATCCCTGTCTATTTAATCATAATTGGGGAGGGGAAGAAGAGGATTCATAGTTTTTCCAAGAGTATTATCACGTAAGTGAATGTAAAGGATTCGACTGGAATTCGAACTCGGTTCTCCGATTCCTCAATCCGAGCCGTTATCCATTATTCCACCGTACCTCCCGAAGAGCAATTTTGTCGAAAGTACTTATTAATGAGGTGCAGGGCCAGAGGAATTAAATAGTGATTTTCCACAAGTAGGTCTGCGTCGCTGAGTAGTTAGAATATTAGCGTGCCGACCATGAAACTTGTGTCCTAATCTTACCATTGACAAATTGTCAAGGTGATTTTTGATAATATCGGACTGAGTAGAAAACCCCAGCACGAAGAGCTGTTGTGTTTGAAAGACATGCCATGGGTAGACACAAAACCTGCGATGGAAATAGGCTAGACAACAATGTTCGGAATACGGTGATGGGTATGATTGCACGAAATCACAAGTCATTGTGACTGAGGGGTTAAATTTACTGGCCCTATTTAACCTGTAATCACATTAGATTATGCATATTTACTTTTTTTCGGTCTCTTGTCATCTTTATGGCCATATAGAGGCCCCTTCGGCTATTGTACACTCTGGCTTTTTGAAGACGGTACAACGGCTGAAACATCCTGAATGTGGCAATAAGGATGAAAGCACCAGTCCAAACACTGTAAATAGTGTAAATAGTTAGTGTTTTGAAGTGGGATATGGCAAGGCACAAAACTTAACACGACCGAGTCAGTCGTGATTGTAGTATTCACGAGACAACTTACTGCAATACTATGATCCTTTGCCCTCCTCTTGATGATTGCCCAGGACTATCATGAATGGATCAGTCTATTTATGATTATACGAGGAGGTGGGTAACAGCTCTTACATCATCATCTCTCCTTTTGAGACTTACTTTCTATGAACGTTATTCTTTTTTTTCTAGATTGATCGAACAATTCTGTAAGTTCGCTCTATCTTTTATTGAAGCCTGTGGTTTTAGGAGCGAACAGGGGCATAGGTTCATCCAAAATATCATAGAAAACCACCCTCGGTTCCTCTGTTCGTCCGAGTACCTTTTTCTTATGTGATTTAGATATATTCTATGCACCCTTGTAAACCCTTTTATCAGGTGCCGTAACTTTCCGAACAATATCTGACTAATCTCATCGTCGTCGTCAGCTAATGTGATGTGGGGTCTGGAGAGACAGAGCACTTAACTCGAACGAGTCGGTCGTTAACGTAGTATTTAATACTCAGTTATTTAGTTTGCGGCCACAGACGAGATTGAACTCACCAATATTTTGATTGGTGTAGTTCATAATCTTGTCAAATAGCTGAATTCTTGATGCTTCGCTAGGGCTATCAAGGGTGTTTTTATCGTGACACCATCACTAAATGGATTGCCAACCAAGGCACAGACAGACTCCATTCACCCTCCTCTAAGAGCAGGTTTGAATTCAGAGTTTTCCTTCTCCTAGACCAGTTGCCATCCAAGGCTATAGAACTCAGTCTGCCCTGCTATTTACCCATAGCTGGAAAGAGGATTCACACCTTTCCCAAGGGTGTTAGCACGTAAGTGAATGTAATGGATTCCACTGGAATTCGAACTCGGCTCTCCGATTCCTCAATCCAAGTCACTATCCATTACTCCACCGTGCCTCCCCCATTACTCCACCGTGTCTCCCAAGTTACTGCAATCTTATATCCCCTGTAGACTATTACCCAGGACTAATCACGAATTGATCAGTCTAGTCATGATAGTAAGAAGGGTAACTTGCTTCTACCACAACGGTTACAATGCCTCATCTCAGAAATATAGATAGATTATGCATTCTCTCCCAGAAATTGTATTTTAGTTCAGTATAGTTTTGTTATAAACTGTATGTTGGCTCTGTGGGCGTCTACAAAAATGATTACGTTACTACCCTAGTAGGCAGACATACTCGGATTAGGTCAGCTATTATACTTATTAGAGTTAGCGCCATGCAAATTGTCTTAATCCGCACTGAACAACGACTGTGATTTAATCGTAAGTGGGCAAGGGAGGAAAATTAGTAAACAAGGAGCGGGTGGTTAGGAATTAGGAGAAACAACTTAAATATTTGTGAAATGGACAAAGTCCGACAATTATTTTGAGACATTTTTATGTTTAAATATTCTTTATTTTACAGATACGACTATTTAGGTAGATGTTCTGTTTATAATAAACAGTATTAACAACATTTACTATTTCTATGAGTCCGGTAAATGTTGTTAATACTGTTTATTATAAATAGAGCATTTACTTAAATATTTGTATCTATAAAAAAATAAAATATAAATATGTCTTAAAATAATTGTCGGACATTGTCCATTTCATAATGTATGACGTCATTTGCTTACATTTAGATACGCATCGAGCAGATATGAAAGTACGTGAGAAAATAATGGAAAATTGTAGTTTAAAAACAGTAAAATCGACCTTGCTAACCAAAACGCTCCTCTGTGGCGAAATCGGTAAAAGCACGTCAGGCTGTATGACGGTTCCGTATAGGATACAGGTTCGATTCCTGTCGGAGGACGCATATTTTCTATGAAAATTTCTCGGACATTCAGGCCGGTAAATGTTGTTAATACTGTTTATCATAAACAGAGCATTTACTTAAATATTTGTATCAATAAAAAAAATGAATGTATAAAAAAAAATATCTTAAATATTTGTGTAAGAATACAAAATTCTTACAGAAATATCAAACAAGTTTACAGAGTGTGGAATATTGTTTGAAGTTTGTAAGATCTTTACCGAAGAAAGCTAACAAGCGTGGAGCGAGAGTCATAAAACTTTTTTTCTATTCGTCGTCGTCATCGGCACCCGTCCGTCTCGAGAGACGATAGAGTAGCGCGGTGCGCTACAGGTTTGGGCGGGATATATGGAGAACTAGGGCTTCACTCTCGGCCTTTCTAGCAGAGTCCAAAGGAGAGGATAAACCAATACAGTTTGGTACCAACGCGGCTGCAGGAGTTGCCGGAAGGTAGCACAAAGTGCCATCCATCCGCCTTAGGGGCTCCACTACGGGTTTGTATTCAGAGTTGTCCTTCTCCTAGACCAGTTTCCATCCAAGGCTATAGAACCCATTCTGTCCTGCTATTTACCCATAGCTGGGGGGAGAAGAAGAGGATTCATACCTTTCCCAAGGGTATCAGCATGTAAGTGAATGTAATGGAGTCGACTATTATTCAACCAATAAAACCCCCAAACAACTCAAATAACGTTTCTAAATTAGGTTGTTGTAACGGCATACAATGAGGCAGAAAGAGGGGGATATTATGAGGATATATAATAGTTGACCCGAGTATTGAAAACTTTCAGGTTTAAAAGATTGGTGAAACATATTCATGTGACTATTTTACAGTAAAACAGTTCCGGGGAAGTTGTTTGATTGGAAATACCTTCTAGCAAAAGAAGTATGAACGGGTTGATGAGTGCAACGATCGTGGATCTGACATGAAAATAACGATATGATAACGAGAAGCTAGCAATGTTTTATCTCTTCGATAGTTATGTTATGTGGAAAAGAATTTATGATCCAAAAAGTGTGGATTAGGTAGATCCAACACTGACTTGGCAGGGATACTGCATTTTTAATCTTATCTGACCCTTGTAAAGTGCAAGGGTCCCGTACACACTGGGGTGGTACAAATAACGATTCATTTTTATCGCAGGATTGAATATACAGTTTTCCCTTGACGTATGACGGCAGCTGAAATTCCAAAAGATGTTCTAAGCAAGGAACATCTTTGGAAGCACAACTGTTAATCATGACTAGAGAAAATTCATTCTGTGATGATGAGCTTAGAGCTCCATTTTGAAATAAAGATTCCCATACGATCACCGATGTTAACCAACGTCGAGCCTGGCCAGTACCTGGATGGGTGACCGTTTGGTAATATCAGGTGCTGTAAGCTTGGATGCGTGGATGATGTGATAGACAATGGTTGGGAATAGTTAATAAGAGAGGCGAGTTTCAATACCAGTGGGGTTCGTTTTATTCACATACACACAGATGCCCTAGGAAAAGCTAAGAATCCACCTTTTCTCCCCAAAGCTATGGGTTAATTAGTAAGACGGTTATTTTTAAAACCATTATTATCTTCACAAAAGAAATACGTACAAAATTTTTAGATTTGGCATTTAATAACCCATAGAGGTGTTTTCATGGCTTTCCACCCACCTCTACCCGTTGCAGTTCTCAACAAATTCCTTCCTTCTGCCACTTACTCCAGACCACTGTTCTGTCATCCGCTTGCTTGAGGCCGCTAGGTATGTCATGCGTTGCTTTCCCTTGTCTCTTTTTTCCTCTATTCGACTCGTGAGTATCATATTCTCCAGGCCCTCCTTCCTCATCATTTGTCCCAGGAACTTCAGCTGCCCCTTCCTGATGTTAAATATAAGCCTCATCGTTGCGCACACGCCCGGTCCATGATATCCTTCGCATCCTTCTGTAGAACCACATCTAAAAGAATCTAATCAATGTACAAGAAACGAATAAAAATAATACAAGTATGTATTTATCATTAAATGTATAAGAACATTTTTTTTATTATTGTTGTTGTTAGAATAAATTTTTGAAAGATAAATAATAAAGGACGAAGTAAAATAATGTTACGACTCGAAACGTCTTGTGTATGAATCAATGAATTGAAACAATTTGAAATTTGTACATTTCTTTCGTACAAGTATTCGTTACGGTACCCTGTACCTACAATTGCATAAAGAGGACAAATATAATAAAATAAAATAAAACAGAAAAAAAACATACGAATAAATATCAAAATCTTTAGTACTGTCAATCTATACACATTCTATTCGAAATATTTAATTCGTGAGAATGCGATAATGAAAAAAGAAAAAAAGAAAAAAAAAGATGAGAAAATAGAAAACTGCTGAATCGTCGAGAAGATGTTTGACGCTGACGTCCGCGAAATGTCGACGCACATAATCCTGCGTCAAGTCTGTCTTAAATTTGTTTTTGGCGAATTACTTTGGCGAGCGGCTAACATAAAAGGCGGCGTTGCTGGGCAGCAGTGAGGGTCATAAGACAGCCAAAGTACTGGCGGGTCTTATGGGCGTCAGTTAGTTTCAAAACTCTATCGACGAGACATTTTATTCAAAGAAGAACGAATATAAATTCAGATAAAAAGACATCGCATACTTTATTCATGCGCAAGCATATATATATATATATATATATATATATATATATATAAAATATATACAGATGCACACACACACACACACACACACATATATATATATATATATATATATATATATATATATAATATGGGAAATGGGACAAGAGAAAACGTTTCCTTGTCCATCATATTTAACTAAAGATGTTTAAAAGACAGGTTACTGCCCAAATGTACATTAATATTAAACCCGGATATAAGAGAGTTGTGGGGACCGGAGAAGAAGTCTCTTATATCCGGGTTTATCTTATATCCGTGTTTACTGTTTGGTCTATTTTATATACCTTAACACAGGGTCTAATTTGGGACCAGAGAAAATCTCTCTATATCCGGGTTTCTCTTATATCCGGTTATATATATATATATATATATATATATATATATATGTGTGTGTGTGTGTGTGTGTGTGTGTGTGTGTGTGTATCAGATTTTGATTTTCTAAGCATAGTTTAGATGTGGCACAAGGCCGAATGTACGGGCCACCCAGTGATCGAACTCACTATTCAGTCGTAATTGATTTAGCGAAACAAGCTTGCTAAACATAACACCGTCTCGAATTTCCCAAATATCGATTTTCAATAGTAGCTTAGATGTGGCACAAGGCCGTAAGTAGGGGGCACCCAGAGAGGATCAAACATACGATTCAGTCATAATTGTTCTAGCGAGACAAACTTGCTAACCATTAAACTGCCTCGTGCGTGCGTAATCAGATATACACGACGTTAGCCGGAAAAAATTACTTTTAATATAATAATCAAGGAAGTTATGATCTTTAAATATAACTTTTTATGCAATGTCATCACATCCCGGAACTGGGAGCATCTATCGTGTCCATAGCTGGAATGCTGTATCCAGGGCAAGATAGCCTGAAAATGATTAATCTTCAGTATGATTTGAATTCAGATGTTTTTTCTTCTAGAGGAGTTGCTACATCAACTTAAGAGATACGAATCTGTTTTGCTATTTAACCCATAGCAGAAGGAAAGTTGTTGATGCTTTAAAGTATAGTGAATTAAGGCGTCGTTTTGCAATAATAGCTTTTATGCAATTCCTTTACGCAATAAATACATTTCCTATACAGTGTAACCCGGATATAAGAGAGTTGTCGGGACCGGATAAGAAGTCTCTTATATCCAGGTTTCTCTTATATCCGGGTTTGGTCTGTTTTGTTTAGGTAAGTATGGCCTCTAATTTGGGACCAGAGAAAATCTCTCTTATATCCGGGTTTCTCTTATATCCTGGTCTCTTATTTTCGGGTTACACTGAAAACGCTTTTTTTTACTTTAAAATGTTTTGATGTAGTAACTTATTTTAATAAAGTTTCACTTTACCTATCATTAGTGATAAAATTTCCAATCCTAAAATATTGTTAGAAATCAGATTTTGAAACAAAAAAAAAACAGATTTAGCCATGTTAAGAAGCTGGAAACCTATGAGACAACGATCTTGAGACAGTGTCATCTTGTTTCGTTGATGAGTACCACAATATGAACATTTGTATATTACCCCCCACTTGGTTGGCAAGATGCCCATCATGTGGCGCTGTTTAAAGACTATAAAAGAAGGAAGATAATCTCCCTCTTTCTATTTATTTCGGTTGCTACCAGATGTAACAGCGTAGATACGCTATTGTCCTCGTATGAGATAACGAAATTGAGCTATAATTATCTTGCTTTGTACCGCCACTTGGTCTGCCATGACACCCGTTAGATGGTGCTGTTTCAGGACTATAAAATAAGGTAATTATCTTCCCCTTTCTCTTTCTTTTTCGTGTTCCAAGATATAGCAAAGTCGATACGCTTCTTGTTCCTGCTGAGGATATATCCCCAGTGTCTGCCGACTGATATCTTACACAAAGACGCACACACACACACACACACATATACACACGGATATAATATTCGTAATAGCTAAGAATTAATGTTTTTTCTTAACTTTTTAGTTGTGTACACACTAATATTTTTTCTTCTTTATAATCATTTATTAGTTATATAAAAATACATTAAATTATTTCCGCCGGGAAATTTAGTTCATTTTCTTCACCTATACAACCCGTCAATTATATGTGAATTCTTTGTTTTCTCCTGCTCTTAATTGAGTAAGAAACTTCACTTGGAAATGGCGTACCTTGAATTAAACGGAAACGTAGTTTGAAGGATGTAAATACTAGGAATAAACACATGAAACTGATGACTAAAAATATTTTTATATTTCTATCTCTGACCCAATTACATGTATTATATACAGTTTTCCAACTGTTATCCTCATCTTCATTGCCATATTCACAACGTTTCGGCTATTGTACGCTGCGGCCTTCTTCAGATAATAATGAAAATTATGCAAGTAATGATAATACCTCGTCTCAGAGATATAGGCAGAATCTAACCCGATATTAAACACTTTTACCTATAAACATAACATACTTTCAAACTATATTGTTCATTGTAAACTATAATATAATATATATATACAGTGTAACCCGGATATAAGAGACCCGGATATAAAAGAACCGGATATAAGAGAAACCCTGATATAAGAGAGATTTTCTCTGGTCCCAAATTAGAGCCTGTGTTAATGCATATAAATTAGACCAAACCCGGATGTAAGAGAAACCCGGATATAAGAGACTTCTCCGGTCCCGACAAATCTCTTATATCCGGGTTACACTGTATATATATATGTGTGTGTGGATGTGTGTGTGTGTGCGTGTATATATATATATATATATATATATATATATATATATATATATATATATATGTGTGTGTGTGTGTGTGTGTGTTGGGGTTGGGGGGTAAGTCCGTGTGCGTACGAGGAGATGGTGAAAGTTAACCATCCGAAACACGTCACAAGGTCTGAGCAAAGCTTCGAACATTTTATGTAATTATTTCTTGGTCGGGCTTAGAACATTTCGATATCTCCTCTTCATGTGACATAATCACAGGAAACCCAACATATTTTCACATACAGACCTATCACTAACAAACATCCTTGATTACTGCAATGGCACGAGTATGAGAATTGTAAAAAATAAAATAAAGTGAAAATAAAATAGAATGAAAGAAAGCCTCACACACACACACACACACAAATAAATAAATAAAAAAACCAGGGTATTCGATGAAGAAAATGTGAAAAAAATATCCGAAAATCACCTGGCGCCGTTCTGATCAGCTAGTCGATTGGAAAGATCGATGTTTCATTGAAGCATAAGATCGTGGACTTTGAAGGGAAAACGAATGGAGACAACATTCTTGGTGTTTCAGGCTATAAAAACATAATGCTTTGGCCCTGTGCAAAGTTCTTCTCTATTAACTGCTGTATTTGATGTAATAGACTTTTTTTGCTCTGTTAATATTGGTGTGAAGTGTTCATTCCCGATATATTAGCTACTAGTATTTTCCGGATACTACTACTACTACTACTACTACTAATAATAATAATAATAATAATAATAATTATTATTATTATTATTATTATTATTGTTTTTTTTTTTTTGTTGGAGAAAGGCATGCGCCAAAAAAATTGAAGTTGCGATACGAATATACTAAGACCATCGTATCACTGAGTCTGATCAGACACATACCTCGCAATTGCAATCGCAGCCAAATGTGCGTGATATGACGACAGGTTTTGATAAAAGCAGCGTATAAACATTCCGCTGGAGAAGAGTTAGAAATACATTTATGCTGGGTAACCCGATCCGCTCAG